ATGGCCCCATGTTGAAATGCTTGATTTTCCCCTGCAAAGACACAAAAGCTGGGTCATTCAGTGCTTGCCCTGTTTGAGCGGTGATACCCCAGATAGCTATGCCATGGAGCCCATTCGTGTAATGAAAGACTATGGGAAAAACTTTGGCTCCATGGCAATTGAACTGTATGTGTGTGATCTGAGCGCCTGTACCTGTTTTATGCATTGGCTGCACAGTTATATATTTTTATGTATTTTATTGTCTTTTGATGCCATGTGTTCAACTGAGTTTTGCCTCTGTCCTTGGCGATAATTGGATTACTTACCAATTATCTCCAGGATAGAAGACTCCATGGAACTGGTTTTGGGCAGAAAAGCCATTTTGTCACAAAGGACTACGATCTAACTTTTGAACCAATGGACCAATTTGTATGATTTTGACGTATGTTTGTATTTGGAGTATGTTCATTCTGAAAATATAAGTTTTATGTGAATGTGATGCATACTTTTAAAATTATGAATAATGTGGAAAAACTGTATTCCTCTGCCTGTGATAATTACATTACCTGTTGTGTAAAGTAATTGCAGAGGGGAGGATTTTGTATGGGAGTGTATTGTACGTGTTTATTGGTTGTTTTCCAAAACCCTGTGGGTGGTACTAATGTGTAAGAATGTGTATATAAGAACAATAAACCCACAGCTTTGTCTGTTCCTGCTTGACCCTCAAAACGGAGCCTTGTCTCGTTCTTGGGGGGGGGAGGGGCTTTATTGTATGCTGTTCCAGTTCGACTGCTAGGAGTATAAATCTATTCGTATGGTTTTTCCTATTTGGCTATTTACAGCAATCGTATGTTTGAGAGCATTTGTATGCTTCTCCGGTTCAGTGGATTGGTGTCTACAGTAGCTGCCTGTATATCTGAAAGGGAATATCTCCTAAACGGCTTTTAACCCCTTTTATGCCTGGGGGTGCCGTTACACTTGGTTTAAGGTGACAAATTAAAGACCAGAGTAGCCAAACTGAAACTGACTTGACCCTTAACGACGAGTGACGGACCAGGTCCGTCACGCGTTAAAATTAACCCCCGATCGCCGCAATCGCGGGGTTAATAGTGCTCCGGTCTGCCTCTGTATTAGAGGCAGACCGGGAGCACCCGATCTCGCTGCCCCAGCAGCAGTGCTCACTCTGACAGACTGTCAGAGCGAGCACGTGTGCTCCATATAAAAACAAAACAGAGAGTAAGCGCTAACTAATATCTGGGCAGCAACCCTAAAACTCACATTTAAAAGAGCTATGACTCGCTCTAGTGTAGAAGGCGTACAGCGGTTTAATCCCCGCTTATGGGATATAGGGTGGACTTCCTCCGTCTGTGGTATATCCAACACTCGGGTAAAAAGAGACAGCCAATAGTGTACACTGAGTAAAATATTGGTAATAAAATAAATAAAATAGAATGGATACTCACAAGACAGGAGCAGAACAATTGCTCCTTGATGTTAGCGCTGGTGGTATAATCCCCACCTAGGATTTCTTGGAGTCAAGGATGGTGAAAGGATGCCACGTAGTAAATAAATAAGAGTGTATAAAAGATAAATGGCACAAATAAAAAGTAACCAAATATACTTTAATATATATAAAATACACAATTAAAAACGCGTTTTGCCAACACAGCGTTATCAATATGGGGTAAGAACCTGATACCTGGCATGACATGGTTTATATAAGAGCTTCAGTCCTTTAAAATTGGCGCCAAAAAATCAGCAGCCAAGCATAAAATTAATAAAACAGTATAAAATCAGAGAGATTAGTATTTGTGTACAATAGTTTAACTATTATAATCATTATTGCATGAAAGAATGTAAAAAATGAAGATTACAGTTTGAATTTATAAGGCTTAATATGCACGGTCATGTGACCGGCATATTGCCGCACAGGGGTATGGGAATGGTATTATAGACGCCGGCGCGCACTGCGCAGCCGCCGGCGTCTATGTGGAAGGGGAATAGACACAACGTCATCGCGCATGCTAATTGCGGCTGACGTCAGTGGTATAGACGCCGACGGGCACTGCGCAGCCGCCAGTGTCTCTCTGAGGGAAAAGTAAAAGACGTCAGCATGCATATTAATTGCGGCTGATGTCAGTAGGAGGGGTGGAGTAAAAGATGAGCACAAGGCTGCAGCCGTCGTCAAGGCAACTGGAGAAGCCCTGCCGGCACGTACAAGAATGCGCCCGGCCAGGGGTCTCACAGGGATGAAAATTAAAAACACAAGTTACACTAAAAACACATAAGAACAAAAAACAATATAAAAAAATATACTAAGAATATGTAATAAAATTATAAAATAAATATGAGAAGGTATATTAACTCCATGTATTAAAAGTAACAAGAATTAAATATGTCTATAAAAAATGTAACAGATCAAAGTCTACATTGAGACCATGGGGTGTAAGGGTTTGGAGTTTGTACACCCACTCCATTTCTATTTTACCTAAAATATTTTTAATATTTCCACCCCTCCACGGAATCGTACATTTCTTTATACCTATACATTTCAACATTCTGGGGTCTCTATTGTGTTGGGTAAAATGTTTGGATACTGAGTGGTTCTGGTATCCATTTTTAATGTTTCTGCAATGCTCACTTAAACGTGTTTTCAAACACCTTGTGGTCATTCCAACATATTGGAGACCACAGGGGCATTCAAGCAGATATATAACATTTTTAGTAGAACAGTTAATAAAATCATGAATTTTATAGACCTTGTTTGTCCGTTTTGACATAAATTGAGTAACTTTACAGGGAACAGCACGGTCAGTCGTTTTACAAACTATACACATTTTGCATTTGCAAAACCCTTTAGTTTGTGGAAAGAAGGATAAAGAGGGTATGTTTTTCACTTCCTTGGTATAATTATTAGTTAATATTGACTTGAAATTTTTGGCTCCTCTAAATATTATATTCGGATGCTCTGGTATAATTTTATTAAGAGTTTCGTCTTGTTGTAAGATATGCCAGTGTTTTTTTTTATAATCCTTTTTACATTATTACTTTTGTTATTAAAATTAAAAATAATTGGTAAAGGTATCGATTCATCTTTGGTTTTAGGTTTATATTTTAGGAGTTCATTTCTATCTCTATTTTGGATATCCCTAATAATGCTAGCAAGTTCTGTTTCTGAATAGTTTTTCTCAACAAATTTGTCTTTCAATACGTTTGCTTGTGTGTTAAAATCACTTATTTCTGAGCAGTTCCTCCGGAGTCTGAGTATTTGACTCTTCGGAGCACTATCTAGCCAGGGTTGGTAGTGGCAACTGCTCTTATCTATAGCAGTATTCACACATACTTTTTTGAAAAATGTTTTTGTATGTATTTTCCCGTTCTTAATAAAAATTTTGAGATCTAAAAAGTTAATTTGTTCCCTGCTGTGTCCGTGGGTTAGGACATGTATGTATGTATGTATGTATGTAGTGGGGAATCGCGATGCAGCCTAGCACAAATCTAAACCCATTTACCCCCCTCCAATAATGACAGACCACTTAGTATGGATGAACAGGCCACAGCATTTATTATCACAAACTAAATTACTGCATAACACATCCATAACTTTGTTTATTAAATCTCTTCTTTCTGTAACCAAACGTTAGACATAAATAAGCATAAATTAACATATATACGTATATAACTCCACCCATAGTGTTATACAGTGACCCAACCGTCCTTGCCAGTAAACATACAGTGGTTACTAATCACCACTTCCTCTCACCTCTCCCCTCGTCATAAAAATCATATATTTCCAATGCCCGCCATCAGCCGACCTTATCCACGCTCGATGGGCACGACACCTCAGGCAACCTAATGTTTAACCTTTTGAAGCAGGGGAGGTTGAGACCTAAAAAAACTTGTTCATCTCATTCCATATACTTAAACGTAACCACTCAAACTCAATTGGCAAGGACATACCCCCGCCACAACCCCGCTGTTTTACACCTAAAATCAGCGGGGGACCCCACCATAACCAGCCATGGCCTGTTCCACCACTTCTTGCAGGCCTATTCCGACCTCCAGCAAGTGTACCTATCCCCTCGAGATAACTAGGCCGCATCCGGCCAAACCCTAAGGCGAACTGTAATCCCCCAAGACAAACCCAGAAACACATCTCATCAGAATTTTTACGGCATTGCACCAGGGCACTCACATTGCTGAGCGCACTGCCGACAGGACCGGGCGATAGCCTCAGCCTAGCCCCTGAGAACCTGTGGGAAGAAAAACAGAATGCGCAACATGTCCAGATTGAAGAGCACCCAATACCCAAAACAACACCGGACCCATGTCATTCCACCCAGAGATGACAAAACCCCCTGGTACCTCCTTGAGGTGGGACAGCTGACCCCGTACGAGGAGGACCACACCCCCTCCATGTAACTGGTGACAGACCACTGAACCTCTGCTCCCGAAGGCGTAAGATCCAACCACTCGCCCCGGCCTCCTGGCCCACATTACATACGAGCATCCCACCATCCCCTTTCGGGGGGACCGTAACCGCGGTGAGAAATCCATTCAAGGACCAGCAGGGTGAACCTGAAGGAATCCACCACACTGACTCCCACAATTCGAGCCCCCTGAACCATTGGCACAGGCACGCCAAGCCTGGCGGCGACCGTAGCCGTCCCAAATCAGAATAAATGCCCCTTGAACTCCCCACCATCTTTTAGGCAAATGACGGAAACCTGCACCGCCCCCGATCGGAACGGAATTTGTCAGACTATCCTGGGAACCCCTTACATCGTGTTAGGAGCCCAACCATTATCCCGTGCATTCCATCTACCTTAGGAGAATGCGGAAAAGCCAGGGCAAGTCAACCCCGCAACATCCAAGAATTGCACAGATTCCATCGATGAATCAGCGACACCGCAACTGAGCGGCGAAACCTGAAGTAAGTCCGTCCACCAAAACACCCCACCACTTGCCGACGACCGTAACATGAACAGGAAGCCGAGCCCTGCCAATCGCAGAAATCACCCCCAGTGCCCTTAACAGACAGAACCAAACATGTAGATGAGCAGTCCACTACCGGAACCCACAAGGAAACGTCCCCATCCGTCCCGATCACTCCTACCATACTGGAGCGGGCCCCACGCCGCCTCATAGGTCGACCCACGGACCAGCTTCATCAGACCGTTGGACCAAGCGACCACCTCCACTGCCTTAACATCGACCCTGCGACACCTCTGCCCGAAGTAATGACCAAGACAGAGCGTCGGCCACCACATCGGGAATACCCGGACACAAAATACCCCTGACCAGCCGTCCCCAGACTCAAACAGCGCCAAGCCAGGCGCCACAACTGGAGTAACACTGGGGTAAAGGGTACTGTCACATGACAAGACAGCCCGCACTGCCCCACGATGGTCCCAAAGGAAAACCCACCCACCAGTTCAAGAGCTGGGCACCCCATGCCTACCATGCCACCAGAAAGGGGAAGCTCCAAGAACACCAGAGTCCGTCAGAAACCCGATGCTTGCCAGTGTAATGGGCAAGAGTCAGCACACCATTGAGAGCCCAAAATGGCCCAAAACCTGCTGCAGCAGCAAACAGCTGGAAGTCAGCGGAAAAGACTTATGGGGCCAGAGTGCACAAGCCACCATTAAGGGAGGCCCAGCAGGAACCCCATACAGTCCCAAGGGCAACCCCAACAAGCAAAGCCCAGTGTACCCAGGAGAGTCCAAAGGTAGTGCAGCCTAAACCCACAACGCCCCTCAAAACCACTGACGCATCCTGCCCGATGTCCCAAACCGCAGTCAGGGGCAACCGACATCCCGTTGCAGGAATCGATCCCACTATCCAGGAGACTACAGCCCGTATCCCAACCTACGGATATGGCCTGGGCCACGGAACTCAGAAACTCATAAAACTACCCCAGGAAAAACACTGCAGCAGCAGAGTGTGGACATGCGGCACCGATGGCCCCACACATAAATGACATCGGGAGCAACCCACGTGGAGGCACATAGCCACCCAATCCTGACCGTCGGAAACACAACCTGGAAACAATCAACCCGACGGGCGTACCGGCAGCAGCTGTAAAACCGATTCCACAGCTGCCTTTGTCAGCAAGGGCCCGCAGCCCCACCCACGCAGCCCGCTGCGCTGAGCCATCATCCCAATTCTAGCCCCTGGAAGGAAACGACAACTAAGCAAATAAGGAATCTGGAGATACCGGGCACCACAGCCAACTCCAGGGACACCCTAAATGACTGGGAAGTAAACTTATCAAGTGTTCTTGGTAAACTGGACCCACATCACCCGATGGAGCTCCCACATGGACTGAGGGCCCTGCACTGAGAGCACCCACGTCCCCCATCCCGACCGATTGCAGAGAGGACAAAAAAACACACTGTGCGGAGGTGCCAGGTGAGCCCCAAAGAAAATCAGCGGCCAAAACCCATCCGGCACCAGGCCAAGAAGGGTCGCACCCCCAACCGTTGACGAAAGTGCAAAACGTACCTCCACCAACCCAGCTTATCCCAGGGACGAAACGCGTCCCAAGAGTGTCCTGACCACAGAACCACGCAGCGCAGACTCGGGGAGCCCTGTCCCCGACCATGCTATCCAGAAACTGGGGTGCATCCGAATATGTGCCCTGGGGTGCATCCGACCACAGCATGCTCCCCACGACCCTCCCAGAGCCCCTAATGTCCCTCTTAGTCAAGGGACCCCCATGGCAGGAGGGAACATACCTTCAATAAAAACCCATTCTCCATCTGCTCCCTAGCATTACGCGCAAGCCAAGTGGGCCACATGAGCTCAGCAGCCCCAGAGTCACGTGAACCTGGGAGGCATCGCCGGCGCTATCAGCTGCTCCAGACGCTGCGGGAAAGTGTACCTAAACGTATGCTACATACTGAAAACGGAAAGGGGTACCTAAATTTTGTTTTATTGTGGATTCTCTCATATTTTTTTTATTTTTTTTAATATTTAATTCTCCCCCTTGTACTTGACGTTGGATTCCTTTTTGTTTAATTTTTTATTTTTATTTTAGTCCAATAGGTAATTTACATTTTACATGCATGCCCACCAGAGAGGAGGGAGGTGGGGGGAACCAGGATAATAGGAGGGGGGACCAGGGGGCCCAGGCAAGGGTAAGCTGGGCCCCCTGGAAGATAAAGAAAATAAAGTCAGCCTAACAGGGAGGGAGGAAGGGGAGACAGAGCCCTGGGAGCCTTCCTCACTGGCAGAGGAGGCTCCCAATGGGCAAGGGGACCCCCCCCAGACCCCTGCGGCGGTACAAGGTACCCAGCGCAGCCCGCGAGGGCCCACTCACCTCCCCGCCGGCCGCGGGGGACCTGCACAGTTGCCAGGCGGCCACCTGCCACCCTGATCGCTGGATCCGCCGCTCTCCGCCCCGGTCCGCAATCCAGCGCTGGCGGCCGGGGCGGATGGTGTGGAGGGGGGAAGAGCAGTAGGCCGCATGGCAGGCCTCGTGGCTGAAGGTCGTGCCACCCGCGCGGCTGCAGTAGGCCCAGATCCCGGCCCCCAGTAGTAGACCGCGTGCCTGGAGCCCCAGACATGCGGCCCCCGCAGTGCCCTGGATCCAGGGACAGCCTGGTAGGCGGGTGGGAACACCTGCCAGTGCTGGTGCGGCCCCCAAGGGCAGGGGCCGCATGGGAGACAGCAGGGGAGACCGCAGGGGATGCTCCAGGGGAGGGTAGGCCGTGGGGGGTGCCCACACCGGTAGCCATACCTCCACTAATGCTCTGGAATTGCTCCCTTAGGTGCCGGCCACCATCCAGCACAGCAGCCCTGAGGGACGACAACCTCCATCTCTCAAGCTGTGTCAATCTGCAGGCCCAGGCAAAAAGGAGCAGGAGGACAGGAAGCTGTTTGCTGGCCCGAATCCCAAGTGGCACTGAGGTAAGACCTCCCCCACACTAATTTACACAGAACATAATCCCACCCACACACTCTTTCCCAACCAATCCCATGCATCTATCCCCACACTCCTACATGTGCCCTTGTCCGGTTAGCTGCGCTATCTCCCCCGGGCCTATACCTCTATTGTTTGTGTTAAGATTGGTGATAAAAGATTTCAAATCGTCTTCAGAACCTTCCCATATAAAAAAAATGTCATCAATATATCTAAAAAATGAAACTAGGTTTGCTCTCCAAGCATGGTCACTAAAAACAGCTCCAGACTCCCAGTCTGCCATAAATAGATTTGCGTAGCTGGGAGCAAACCTAGTCCCCATAGCTGTTCCTCTTTTTTGGAGGTAAAAAGAGTTTAAAAACCAAAAATAATTATTTTTTAAAATAATATTGATGCCTTCTAAAATAAAATCGATTTGTATGTCGGGAATTTTGCCCTCTCTTGTTAGAGTATCTCTTACAGCTTGACAGCCTATGTCATGAGGTATGATTGTATATAGTGACTGAACATCGCAGGTCACCAGTATAAAATTAGATTTCCATGTAAAATTATTTAAAAACTTTAAAAGAGCCATGAAATCTTGAAGATAGGATCTCATGCGTTTGACTGAAGGCTGTAGGAGAATATCAATATATTGAGAGAGATTGCATAGCAGAGAACCTTTGACGGACACAATAGGCCTCCCAGGTGGTGCAGTTTCATGTTTATGGATTTTGGGGAGGAACTATATAACTGGGGTAACGGGAAACTTGTTATTTAAAAAATTTAATTCATGTTTGTTCAGGATACCTGAATTTACGCCTTTAGTATTGTATTTGTTTGATAGGATCTGAAGAGAGTTTGTCACACACATTTTTGTCATTCAGTTGTCTGTGTGCCTCTTCTATGTACATTTGGCTAGATAGAAACATAGAAACATAGAATGTGACGGCAGATAAGAACCATTCGGCCCATCTAGTCTGCCCAATTTTCTAAATACTTTCATTAGTCCCTAGCCTTATCTTATAGTTAGGATAGCCTTATGCCTATCCCACGCATGCTTAAACTCCTTTACTGTGTTAACCTCTACCACTTCAGCTGGAAGGCTATTCCATGCATCCACTACCCTCTCAGTAAAGTAATACTTCCTGATATTATTTTTAAACCTTTGTCCCTCTAATTTAAGACTATGTCCTCTTGTTGTGGTAGTTTTTCTTCTTTTAAATATAGTCTCCTCCTTTACTGTGTTGATTCCCTTTATATATTTAAATGTTTCTATCATATCCCCCCTGTCTCGTCTTTCCTCCAAGCTATACATGTTAAGATCCTTTAACCTTTCCTGGTAAGTTTTATCCCGCAATCCATGAACCAGTTTAGTAGCCCTTCTCTGAACCCTCTCTAAGGTATCAATATCCTTCTGAAGATACGGTCTCCAGTACTGTGTACAATACTCCAAGTGAGGTCTCACCAGTGTTCTGTACAATGGCATGAGCACTTCCCTCTTTCTACTGCTAATACCTCTCCCTATACAACCAAGCATTCTGCTAGCATTTCCTGCTGCTCTATTACATTGTCTGCCTACCTTTTAAGTCATCAGAAATAATCACCCCTAAATCCCTTTCCTCATATGTTGAGGTTAGGACTCTATCAAATATTCTGTACTCTGCCCTTGGGTTTTTACGTCCAAGATGCATTATCTTGCACTTATCCACATTAAATGTCAGTTGCCACAATTCTGACCATTTTTCTAGTTTACCTAAATCATTTGTCATTTGGCTTATCCCTCCTGGAACATCAACCCTGTTACATATCTTAGTATCATCAGCAAAAAGACATACCTTACCAGCAAGACCTTCTGCAATATCACTAATAAAAATATTAAAGAGAATGGGTCCAAGTACAGATCCCTGAGGTACCCCACTGGTGACAAGTCCAAGCTTCGAATATATTCCATTAACTACAACCCTCTGTTGCCTGTCACTCAGCCACTGCCTTACCCATTCAACAATATTTGAATCCAAACTTAAAGATTGCAGTTTATTGATAAGCCTTCTATGTGCAACAGTGTCAAAAGCCTTACTGAAATCTAGGTAAGCAATGTCTACTGCACCACCCTGATCTATAATTTTAGTTACCCAATCAAAAAATCAATAAGATTAGTTTGGCATGATCTCCCTGAAGTAAACCCATGTTGTCTCTGATCTTGAAATCCATGTGTTTTTAGATGTTCATCAATCCTATCCTTTAACATGGTTTCCATCACTTTCCCCACTACTGAAGTAAGGCTTACTGGCCTATAGTTGCCCGACTCCTCCCTATTACCTTTCTTGTAAATGGGCACAACATTCGCTAA